TGCATTTTAACTATTTCTAGCTTGTAACATAATTATTTCCACTTTTCCAAACGAGGTTTCATTCTAAAATCAATTGGCAATAGAAGGAGTAGCTCACCAAACTTATATATTGGACTTAGAACTTGTAATTTTTCGACGTGGGATTGGGTTTGCAGGTTCTCTTAGACCACATTCTGGTCATTTTTTTTTTTGTATGGATTAAAGCTTAACTGCAGTGTCTGAAGTTTGGAAAGGTCTATAGAAGGAATTAAAGCATAATGACAGCTCAAATTAGTTCTTTATTAGTATTGGGATTAAAGAACTGTCTGTACAGAGAGTTTTTTAAAAAGTGCTGTTGAAGTCAAATTCCCTGAACCCAAGCGAGGTGCGTTAATTATTTATATTATAATTATTAATGTTATTTGTGTGGTGTAACTGTGTTTGTGTGTTTTAATGTATCTGAGTTTAGAACATAAACCAAAAAAACTGCTACTACATCATATTATATTATAGGAAAATGCTACGGTCCCGTTACGGAACAATTCCGTCTGGGTTTGTATCGTTAGATCATCATATAACCGTCAGGGATAATTGATCTAACGATTGCAAACCCAACGAAATGGTTCTGTAACGGGATCGTTGCATCTCCCTATATTATATTATATAATATTATATATTATGTGGTAGAAAGAGACAAGAGGTCCCACTTGTTGAGAAGGTATGCAGCACCGATCCATTGGTGAGACCTACCTGTTTATGGTGCATATATTTGGGTGTGGCGCGTCTCCGGGTAAAGTTATGTATTTGTCTGTTCAAAGTTTTGTTTGCATGCATATATGTGAGTGGATAATGTTGAAATTAAATTTATGGTGATGTGTGAGATTAATTGACTGATATTTTTTAATTATATTGATAATATTAAGAAAAGTTAAGTTGAATTAATTTTGAGTTGAACTTTGGATTAAAAGTTGTAAAAAAAAAAATTAGCGGCGAAAAATAATCGGTTATTAATGCATATATATAATCGTACCATTTCATATGAATTTTCAACTCTCTTTTAAATTCCTGGTGCATGTTCAATCGCTTCACGGAATGTGAGAGTTAATTTGGCCTTAATAATAAATTATGTGATCATTAATCGATAATTTTAATATGGGCAAAAGCATCACATTTCTTATATAGCTAATTATGCATTTGAATGCTAATTAAGATAGTTTTAAGTTATTAATTAGAAACTAGCTAAAGACGATATAATAATTATTTTTAATTAGCTTTATTCAATTTTTATATTATTTTTAATATGTACATATGGTTAATTAGAAAGTAGTAGCAACTGTTTTTATAATATTGTAAGAAATTTTTGTGAGTGCAAATATATGAATGTGTTGTTTGGCATACTGCAAATTACCCACTTGATTAGTACGAACAACACCCTAATCTCTAATATATATGGATTCAGTTTACAGTTGCGAGAGAGATACAGAGACGAGGAAATTTTTTGTAAAAGAGTACAGATGTTAACGGAGGAGAAAAAATGGAGATAAAAAAAGACAGAGGAAAAATAAAACATGTTTGTTATCGAAATAGAAAAAGAGAAATGATTTTCATCCAAATTTTTAAGTGTTCAGTTCTCAACTCCATTCTAGATCACTGGAGCTCGTAAGTCTGGTATGCTACAGATTTCAAGACGATCGTCGTTGTATTTTTTGAGGACTATACGCCTAAATTGTCAGCACTACACGGGGCGTATTCATCTTGCGAAAAGAGTTTACTCGTCTCAACTTTTAATTTTTTTCATTTCCAAGTTGTAATTTATTTTCAATCATATTGTAATTTTCTATTTTTGGTTCATTTGTAAGAATTGTAAAATACATTTAAGTTTGAAGGTTTCCTGCAGTGTATTTCGACACCCTTTTTGTAAAAATCGCAAAATGAGTATCTCAACCTACTGAACTGATTCATCCAATGGAGATGGTTTCAACACTCAACGGCCGATTAACCACATTGTTCATCGTCATTCTGTACCTGTTGGACGCCCCTATCGCTGAAAAGCTCGAGAAATTCAACGGGCTTGCTTGTTCACTAATTATTTTTACTATCCGCAAGTGTATGACGTAGCTATAGGTATTGGCGAGCAAGGTTGTATTCCAATGAAATTATAGTTAAATTAATTAAATGCTAAAATAACGACGATTAAATATTACTTAGACTAACAAATCGAGATGATGATTAAGCTAAGAATTTAAACTAAGAAATAATTTTTCTAATAAAATAGAAATTGAGCAAGATATAAAATGTTAATTCTAGGCTACGTTTCTCGAAATTAATTAATTGAAAGTTTAAATTCATACAAATCTTATTTAATTTTACCAGTAGTAGAGATAATCGCTAATTAATTTTATCTTTTCCTCGAACAAGTTAAATCGTAGATTAATTGCTATCTATCTTCTCTCAGTCTCGAAATGAACAACTAACTCCCTAAATTACTAGGATTTTCGTTCTCTCGTAAAATTCTATAAACCTCTCGGTCTGTTGATTCTCTTACATTATAAATCTCTCAATTTTAGCAATCAATTATTATCTGAAATATTCAAATTTAATTCAAAAATTAATACCAACATGGCTCTTAATTAATAATATTTATGAAGAATAAAACTTTAAAATATCAACATGGGAACTTCAAGGATATAACAAGTATACATCTAGGTACAAAACTATGTATCCGCTATATCCCTCATGGAGATGGACAAAACTCAAAAGCACCATGTATGGTAGCTAGCATACATCTATACATACACAATACAAACCAATATAAAGGGTGATGATTAGTGAGTTTTTATTATGTATTATTACTAATTAAAGTGGTATAGAATAAAGAACCTAACCAAGTTCATTGTATTGTACGTAGGCCTTCTGAATCTGTATTTTAGAGTCTAAAAATAGCCTAGTTGATCACTAAAATATGTCTATATATGTGGTAGAAAAAGAAAACCAATAGTACATTCAAAAAAACTAGTATTATTATTCATGTACAACATTAGTATTAAGTTAATGAATATATATGTAAAGTTATTTATGTCTAATAACAAATCTAACTCCAGAACAAAAATAATATAAAAACAATACCACGAAGCATAAATTTTCACCATGTCAGTATCTGAAGCGTGAAAATCTGCCACGTAGGCTCAACACGTTTTGTATTAATATATAAGGAGGATATTGTGGAGATGCAACTTTACGTGGTGACAGGGGCGGATTTAGAAATTTGATTGGGGGGACTAAATAATTTTCAATAAAGAAATATTTCATTAAAAAGACAAAGTTACATTTCTAGAATAGAAAAGAAAAAAAAATAGTTCAAGAAAATACATATCGTTCAAACTTTGTGACTATTAGAATTGTGCTCGACGTTCTCTCAAAACCTATCGATGATTGACTCGGTAGTAATAGATCCTGCAATTTCCCTTTCAACAAAGATAGTAAAAGAATTTACGAGCAAGTCATACTCAATTTTACTTCGAAGTTTGGATTTAAGTGAATTAAAATAGTTTGATTAGTTTCATTAATAAGGAAATAATATCCCACTATATATAATTACAGAATGCGCTGAGTCTAAGTGGCAGTCTCGCACGTTTCGTAATCCTACTTGGCGAAAAAGCTGTTTCGTAGTTTGGCTTGGATAAAAAATAATATTATTTTGATCAATAATTTTAGGTTCGGACATTCCAAACATATTAAAAAACTAACTTGGTAATCCCATTATAGTTTGACTAATATAACCTTTAAGTTGTATTGGGTGGGGCCGATGGATAAGCAAACCTACCACTAATTCATCGATTCTCTTCCACTATCGTATATTTGACCTTTGATAATGGTATTGATTGACTAATATAACATTGATTTCTTTTTGAAGCTCTCAATCGGCTCATTTATTTCTATGAAAAAAAATAAATTAGCCTAATAAATACATATATTTAATTTTAAACAATTATTGTTGTTATTATTGTTTAGTTTTAAAAATAATTTTCTTATCAAGTACCGTGTATTACACGTGTATTGTACTAGTAATACAATACAATAAAAGGTGGAAGTTAAATGGATTTATGTGTTATCTTTTAAACTTATCTCTAATGGGCCTAGTCTTGTGTTAGTCTACCTAATCAAAATCAATATATCTATACTATTATAAAAGAGCTAATGAATCTGTAAAAATATGATATGCTTACAATACCCTTACTTTTTCATATATATAATGTCA